CGCGGCGTGGTGGAGCATGGAGAGCAGGTCGAGGAGGGCGGGGGCGGATCTGGCCATGGTGGGGCGGGGGGGAGGGCGGAGGCCGGGGGACGGGGTGGCGATGGCGTCGGGCGAGACCGGGGTCGGGCGGTTGCGGGCAATTAAGGGCAATTAAGGGCGCGCGGGGGTGAAGGGGGCCGAGGAGCGGTTGCTGACGCATCGCTGCCCGCGTTGTGGTGCCGGTGTAAAGTTTATTGACACCGGCAAGGCGCACGGCCACGTGGGCGCGCTGTGAAGGGGCGCGACAAGCGAATGAGGCGGGGGAAACCATTCGCCGGTGGCACAGCTTAATTACGTGAGCTGCGCAGCCATTGGTGTATACCTAAGCCTACCCATTACTTCGATGTGGGAATAGTTGTCACATCGAAGTATTGGCTAGCGACACGTGTCAGGCTCAACAAAATTTCAAAAACGGACAGTTCCCACCCTCGGGGCGGGAGCGCGCAACTGCTGTGCATGGAGTGCAGCCGCGCGGGCACCGCTGGGTGCTGGCAGTAGCCGGCGAGGCAAAAAGGTTACCCAAGGGCCATTCCGGGAATCGAACCCGAGACCTCGTCCACCCGAAGGACGAATCATACCACTAGACCAAACGGCCGAATTTCTTGATGGTGAAGAAATTTTTACTGTTTATGAATTCAGTCCTGTTAGATGAGATCTTTTTCCTAAAGAAATGCATTTTTGCATTAATTAATCAAAAGCCTTGTGAAATGCTCGTTGCGTTCATATTGATCCGTCCATAGTATGGACGCATCAATATGAACGCAGCGGCCGAGGGTATGGAGTCCATACCCTCGGCCTTCCGCTTCCCAACACTAGTAGCGTCTTGATATCCGCGAATTCAACAAGCAATCAAACCCTCTCCATCGTTCAAAGACAATTGACCCTATACCGACCGACCGCAAGTAACTTTCCAAGCAAACTTTCTTGAATACCATCAGTCCAATTCGCTTGAGAGAACATACAAACCAACAAAATCGCACTCACACTTTCGTCTGCAGACAACCGCTGCCCACTTTCTCGCAATGCAAGGGAGACTAAAAAACCCCTCCCTACCTTCTATGCAAAATGCAGCCACACCCTGCAGCCACACCCTGCAGCCACACCCTAAACTTTACTCTGCCCCTGGGGAGGGTCTCCTTTAAGACAGCATGGACACTCTCTTGTTCATATCTTTCTGGAATCTCACCGCAGTGAGCAACTTACCTGCCCCCCACTCTTACTTGTCGTCAATCCATACCATGCACTCATCCACAAATCATTTATCCTCTCCTCCACCAACTCTAAAATCTTCCTCACTACCCTTTCACGCCTATTGCAACGCATCTACACGTGCAGCCCGTCCAGACCCGGCCTCCCCCACACCGCATCAACTCCCTCCAACCATTCCTACGCCCCACCCACCCGCGTCCACCCCGCCTTTCACTTTTCCAAACCCCTCCGCCGAACGCGAACCAGCCACCAAACCCCGCCCACCACTACGGCACACCCGCCCACGCCCGCCACCCCGATCACCGCGAGCGCCCCCGTCTTCAGCTTCCCATCGGCGCCCCTCGCAAACAGCCCGCCACCCTCGCTCACCGTCTCAATCGCCGCCCCGTTCACGTCCCCCACTAGAGTGTGCTTCAGCCCCCCATCGCCCTCCAGCTCCAACGCCTCCGTCCGCCTCCGCAGCGCACGCGGCACCCCGAACGTCCCCAGCATCACCTCCTTCTTGCCGCCCGCCCCGACCCACACCCCCGCGAACACCACCGCGCCCTCGCCGTCCGTCGTCACCCCGGCCACCCGCATCGACGACCCGTCCATCGTCTGCTTGGACTGGAAGAGCCCCACCGTCTTCCCGTCGCGCAGGTCATACACCCATACCCCGATCCTTGTGTCCTGCGACCCGCGCGTCGATACCATCCCCAGCATGAACGCGTACCCCGCAGAGTTTAACACCACCCCCTTGCAGATTCCGTCTGTGCTCGATGGGAAGCTTGCAATGGCCATCGTCCGGTTCCCTGTCGCCGACACGTCGGAGGAGAGCGTTTGTACTCCAAAATGCCACGACCCGCCGCCCTCCATTTTGGACACCGAGTACGACACGACGACGTTGCGCATGTCCGTGTCTTCGGCAAGGCCCTCGGAGACTTTCTTCATATCCTTGGCCCCAATAGATTGCAGGCTGAAAAGATTCAAGGTTGATGCGTGCAGTGAGAGCAGATAACTCTCCTTTTGTGCAGCTCGGAGCTCCAATTCGACCACAATGTGCACGCGTTTATTGTCTATCGTCGTTATCATCTGACGGGGCATAAGCCCATGTACAGCCGAATGCACACGATGTTGTTTCTTTTTTTCAATGCGCCCATTTACATGGCTAAGTCGTGCCACAAAGACTTCTTCTTTAGACCTTTTTGCTTCACTTTCCTCAGATAACGAAGCATTTGTGCGCCCTGAAACCAAAATTCCGGCCACGGAGGACACAGAGACCGCAGCAATTTGAGCCATTGCTCCAACTTGTCCAATCTGAGTGACCCACTTTCGCCTCCCGGTGAACGAATCGTACGCCAGCACAAATCCATCCTCTATTCCAGTGCTCTTGTCCGTTGCGGAAGCTTGAGATGACATATTTCCTTTTGTGGCGCCAGTAACGTAAACCACTGCACCAAAGTAAAACGAGCTTATAGCTATATCCGGGAAAGCAGAGCCTGTTCGCTTGAGCCAAACTAAAAATCCAGAGCGACTGAATTTCGCAATGAAAATGCTCATACTGCTTAAATGCGGTACATCCGGGTCTCCGAAGAGCCCGTATGTATTTCCGACGACAAAAGTATTTCCGTTATCGTCTGTAGATATTGACGTTGCCGCGGTTTCTGCAGATGTTGATAGACCAACTTTAAAGGAACGAAAAGTCAAGTCTGTGGAAGGTAGTGGGTGAACCACATTGAAGAAAATGCAGAGCAAGACCAATTTCGAGTATACACACCTCATCCTACGAAACCTTTGGTTGAGAATGTTGTGCGTGTAAGGTTGTCTTCCTTGAAGCTGCTATCCAAGTCGGGACAGTTTTTGACGTGCGTGGTGGGAAGCAGCCGCAAAGACGATCCTGAAGAAATATACGAGGTACAGTGCATTGCATTCTTTTCTGAGTCATGATCGCGCTCGTGGCATTTGAGTTCATGGTCCTTTTTGAGATACGTGCTGCTCCACCAGCGACATCAGCAGCTTTGGCAATACTATCAAGTGAATTGTCCTTATCCGGGTATCCAGGGCCCAGCATCCATTGAATTTATTCAAGGAAGCGAAATGCAGATGAGATCAGGACTTCCTATCATAGAAGCGCTAGTAAAAGCCACGTCGCTCTATGTTACAGAGAGAGGTGTATATGAATGACGGCGACTATGCACTTGCTTTTCTGAAATCTCACCATAAATGTTGATGAGCTTGAGACCCTGTCTCCCTGGGAACTCCCTTTTCCATCAGGCGAACAATTTCTTCAATGTCATTTTGCAAGCATGCATCTAGCGATCCCCTTGGTTGCTTTTGGAGCTACAAAAGTCGAAGACAACTCGAATCTTTGCACTGCGAGTTTCGGATATTCGCAGAAGGTCTGCACTTGTATGTATTGTATAGATAGAATTCTGCTGCCGCCGGAATGCGTGCTTCGAAGACGACGATGAGAGTTTTCCTTCACCCTTCATAGGCATCTGAAGATTCAAATTGGCACATTAAACTCCCTATCGACAACATTACAGCTGCATCCTTGACCATGGCTGAACTGCCGTACCACTTTATACAGTACGTGGCTAAAGGTGCACCTGCTACTTGCGTGCAGTTATTGCTGTGCCCATAAAAAGTACTGTGCACTGCGTGTAGTTTGTTCCTTCCAAGAACGGGAAACAGCGCCAATGGCACAACACATTCATCTTTTATCAGAAAAGTAAGCACACGTTAGGTGGCTTCTGAGGGTTCTGACACTGTAGCAACCTAGCGATAGGTGCAAATGGGATGCTCGTCACCTTTGCTGGCTGATGCGTGTCGAACAAGTGATTGGATTCCCAATGGTTTGCCTGTCCACACTGCGAAGATGCAGTGCGTAACATACCCAAGGGGTACTGTACAGATCACTTTTCAGCTTGGGCAAGGCGCTATTCTACCCAGCGAAAAATCTGGTTGCGCCCATCTCGTGACAATCGCGATACTATAGAAGGAAGTATGATTGCCAGATGTTTGTGCTATTCTGTCGTGGGCAGCGATGCAGTTCTTCGACAAGAAAAGAAGGTGGCGGGTGCAGTGCGTGTGCTTGTTCCACGCAGAACGCGTGTAGGATGGGCACTACTGTCATACTGTGCCCGTTCACAGGGCTCTTCCATAGCGTTGCTATATTGGTCTCATAAAAGCAACAGCAAGCCTGGACATGTGCGGTTCTTCTTCTCTTCTTTCAAGCTGACGTGTTAGATTATTCAGAGGTATGAATTGCGCACTGCCCACCTACCAACACATATTTACATCAAAACATTCAACCGTGTTCAGGAAGCAACATCGCAACTTTGAACAACTATTCAATAATACAACTCACAAGCATTTGACATCAGGGAACACGAAAGCCCTCGGCCCCAGGAACTGCCATTATTGCCTGTACCTACAGCCAGGAAGTTGGATACCCCCCAATCCACACTGACGTTATCTCGTCAAATCATGTGAGCCACAATCCAATAACGAACACACAAGTACTCTGCTGTCATTTGGGGACCGCCATCTTGCCTGCCACTTTACTCAAAACCTTCTTCGCCATAGACTCCTTCATTGCTGCAGCGAGACCGGTGGAATCGACTCCCGTCATCATATCTCGAATAATGCGCTCGAAATCCATGCCCTCTAGTGCCTGGGGTGCTTCCTTTCCGCCGGTGCTTGCTTCTGACACTTCCGGCCCATCCGCGTGATCGCCGTCGGCGCCGCCTACAAACACGAGCTTCTCGGTCTTCGCAAGCGGGGCGGTGATTTGCACAGCTACTTCGGGCAGAGCGTCGATCAGTTTTTCCATCACTGCGGCAGGATTTCCACTACATGACGCAGCAAGAAAGACAGACAGGAACGATGCGCCAAACATACGAACGAAAGCAAAATTGTTAGATATCTAGTGCAAGAGAGACGCAGCAAAAGTGAGAAAATGCCATTGGGTCTCGCAGTAGGCACGTACCATTCATTCCACATTTGAATGCGCTCGCCTAAAACAAGTGTCTTAGCCTCTCCCTTCGCGCGAATAGCCTCTGCTTCTGCCTCTGCTATGTATCGAATGCGCAGGGCTTCCGCCTGGGCTGTTGCTCTGGTGGCCTCCGCACGCCTTTCCTTCCTAAACAGGCCGGCATCGGCGGGCACATTCCTGGTGATCTCGTTCTTCAAGCGCTGCTTCTCAACGTTAATGGCCTCGACCTCCCGCTCAGCCTGGACTCTTGCAGCCTCGGCGTCCCTCTTGGCGACGCGCAGGATGGCGTTCTGCTCGGCGTCCTCGATGGGGCCGGCCTTCTGCTGCGTAGCCACAGCCTGGTCGATGGTGGTCTGGGCGGTAGCGCGGACGACCTGGACGGTCTTGTCGCTCTGGATGATGCGCTGTCGCTCTCGGTTGACTTTGACGTGGGACTCTGCCTGCATCTCGCGGCTCTTGCTAATGGCGAGGTTCTCGTGAAAGGCGGCGCCCTCCATAGCCTCGCGCTTGACTTTCTCCGTCTGCCTCACGCCCAAGGCGTCGATGTAGCCCTGATCGTCGGAGATCTCAGCGACGGTGTACGAGACCATGGCCAGGCCCATGTTGCGCATGTCATCGGTGCAGAGTTCCTTGACGCGGAGCGAGAAGGCGTTGCGGTCGCTGTACAGCTGCTCGATGGTGAGGGTGCCGATGATGGCGCGCTGGTGCCCCTCGACAGTCTTGCGGATGGCGTCGGCCATGTCGGACTCCGAGTGGCCCAGGAAGTGCTGGGCGGCCAGGCGGACGGCCTCCTCGTCGATGACCATGCGGTGGTCGTCGCCGTCCACCATGGCCGTCCACGCACGGATCTTGACCTGGCAGCAGCCCGTGACGTGCACGGCGACGCCGTTGACGGTGGTGCCGTGCGCGGTGGTTACCATTACCGTGCGAAGCGTGAGGCTGAGAGAGTCGACGCGCTGGACTATGGGCAGCGCGAAGAGACGGCCGCCGATGGCGATCTTGCCGTCGGACGAGATGAGCGCCGTGTGCGGGCCGGCCGTGTAGAAACCGAACATGCCCGAGACCATGGCGGAGAGGGGGAGGGGAGAGGGGGAGGGGAGAGGGGGAGGGGAGAGGGGGAGGGGAGGTTGGTGGTCGGTGGAGGGGGAGGTAAGTAAGGGGGGCAGGGCAGCAGGGCAGCGGTGATTGCGTCGTGGGAGTTGGCGAAAGGGTAGGAAGAGGGCGAGCGGGGGAGTGAGTGGAATTCGGACGGGTATGATACAGTATTCGGAGTGGGTCGGGTCGTGTACAGCACATGCGAACGGTATAGGCCCAGCGGGATGGGGTGTATAACGTGCCTTGCTGGCATGCGAGGACCGGGGGAGATTGCCAGCTCAAAAGAATGCAATTTAGAGGAAAGGGCGGAAACCTACAGTGGTTGTCGATAACTGCAACACTTGCAATTTCGTTATTTGGCTGGACCGTGTCATCTTTAAAATAATGAATTGACTCTGTGAATGAATGTTTAGGTAGCGAACAATCTTCAGTTGTTTGTTGTCAACTATCGTTCACAACAATCGTTCACAACAAACATGGTCCAGGCTTGTCTTTCGCTTTTACAAAAAAGAAAATTTTGTGAGCATGCCGAAAGATTGAAAAGAGAAGGCCATACATTTAAGACTCTGGTGCGATTTTAGGTGACCTAAGAAAGGCCCAGGGTGCTGTTCGCTGCATGATGCTCTCTAGCTAGCGCTAAGCAGACTACTGTACGATTGTCAACATTTTCAAGTAAAATCTCGCAAAATGTGTTGTAACACGTGGCAAAAAGTCTAGCCGTTCGGTAACTGCAACCGCTCCCCCCCCCCTAACTGCAAAACTGGAACGGATCGTGGTCCACCAACCCGTTGCAGTTATCGAGCGACTACCTGTATGATAATATCGAATATTATTCGGAGTGGGTCGTGTACAGCACATGCCACCGGTATAGGCCCCGCGGGATAGGGTGTATACCATGCCTTGCTGGGACGAGGGGAGATTGGCCAGCTCAACAGAATCAAAAGAATGCAATTTAGAGGAAAGTACGGTATTTGCTGTATGCACAAGTTGGCACTGTCTCGCACGATTTACATTGTTGCCGCGACCCATCAAATGCGCCCCCTTAATCCGTCAATCCTTCGCATCCTTCCATTTCCCATGCCCATGCACAACAACCCTTTAAACCCCCCCCCCCCCCCCCCCCCCCCCCAACCATGGTTCTCGGCAAGTTCTGCGTCTACACGGCCGGGCCCAACACGGCCCTGGTCAAGTCGTCCGGCCGTCGCGAGGTCCGCATCGTCATCGGCGGCCGCATTCTCGCCGTCCCGATAATCCAGCGCGTCGACTCTCTCAGCCTGGAGCTGCGCACCATCACCGTCAAGACCAGGCGCGGCACCACGAAGAACGGCGTCGCCGTCGACGTCACCTCGTGCTGCCAGGTCAAGATCCAGGGCTGGTCGCTCGCTCGTGACGGCGACGACCCCGTCGCAAACTCTGAAGTAGCGAACGGCGACCTCAAGATCGACAAGCTCGCCATCCGCCTCGCCGCCCAGCACTTCATCGGCAAGAGGGACAACGAGATCGAGGATGCCATCCAGAAGACCATCGCCGGTCACCAGCGCTCCATCATCGGCGTCCTCACCGTCGAGGAGCTCTACCGCGACCGCGCCGCCTTTTCCCGCAAGGTCCTCGACCTCATTAGTGAGGACATGCGCCACATGGGCCTCACCGTCGTGTCGTACACCGTCGCCGAGATCACCGACGAGAACGGCTACATCGAGGCCCTCGGCGTCACGCAGACGGAGAAGGTCAAGCGAGATGCCACCGAGGGCAAGGCTGAGCACCAGTCACACGGCCTCACGCGCAAGGCCCAGGAGGAGGCCGTTGCTCATATGGCCGTCAACGAGCAGCAGCAGCTCAGAATTGAATCGGATAAGAAGCGACAGGTCGCCTACTATGAGGCGCAGCAGGAAATCGACCGCGAGCAGGCCAGGCAGCAGAAGGCAGGTCTTATCACGCATGAGGAGAGAAACGCCGTCTTGTTCGTTACCAGGCAGAAGGCCCTCGCCGCTGAGGCTAAGGCCGAGCTGGACGTGCTGCAGCAGAATGTCCATAAGGAGAGGTTGACCATGGAGAAGGAGGTGCATGCGAAGGCAGATGCTATGTTGTACAAGGCAAAGGTCGATGCCGATGGCATCAGGGCCAGCGCCGAGGCCGAGGCGTATCGTATCCGCGAGGTCGGGCAGGCAGAGGCTGCCTCGATTAAGGCGAAGGGGCAGGCGGAGATTGATGTGCTCCGCTCGCGTGTCATGGTCTGGAAGGAGTGGTATGTTACTTGGCCGTTATATTCTGCGCGTCTTTCGGGGCGAAATGTCGCCACCGCATTGTTTGTCTCTAACGCGTTTTCTTTCACTTTGTTTCATTCTCTCACAGTGGCAACCAAGCGGCGCTTCTGGAACAGATGGTGGCAGTGCTGCCGAGGGTGGCGGAGGCGGTGGCCGGGCCGCTCTCAAAGACGGAAAAGATGGTGTTTGTCGGGTCGGGCGGCAGCGGCGGCGGCGGCGGGCCGTCGCAGTTCACGCGCGAGATGGAGCGGATCGTGGCCGAAGTGCCGGAAACGGTGCGCGCGCTGACCGGCGTCGACATTCATCAAGGGATTGGGGCGCTGATGGCACCCGACACCAAGCAGTCGATGATTCAGGGAACCGCCGAGGGCGTTTCGACAGCGCTTGCCGAACAAATTACGCCGGGCTTCGTCGGCAGGCGTCGACATGTGTGAGGACCGTGCGCGATGTGTTGTGTTTTTTTATTTCCTGGCAGGCGTTGCTCGTCGTCCGTGATGCGGGCCTTTTTTTTTTTTTTTTTTTTGGGTGGCGGGCGTTTTGCCGCACGGTGCGTTCTCGCTTGCTCGAGTGGCGCCAATAGCAGACAGAAGATGTGTGCAGTTTGAAAGTATTTTATGAGATCATCTGAAGTCTTCTGCAAGAAGCGAATGTGTAAAACTTGTTGCCGTTCCAGGCAGGTACAGTAGATAATTGAGGAGACAGCAAGAAGCACGTAGAGACGAGAAGTGAAGTAGTCTTGATTGTGTAAAAACATATGGAAAAGGACATGGTTACTTGAAAATCAATTTGAAATTGTGGAAGTACTTTATTCTGCAAGAAGTGAATGCGTGAAACCGCTTGCCGCTGGAAGCTGGTATAATACTTGAGATAAATGCCTGCTAACGAGCGACTCATCTTCCTACAGTACAAGGCCACCGGCATCTCTATTCCAGACGTGGCGAATAGTCGCGAGTCTCTGCGGCCCCAGGGAGAGGGAGTGGCTTGGGTCGACCCCTTGGAAAACAGAGCCGTTTGGTTTTATTCTGTTGTCGGATCTAATAGATTTGCGCAAGAGAGCGGCCAGTGGAACGTTACTTGGGGCGATTCGGAGGCCAATAATCTGACGATCTTTCATTGTTGCCTCGAAATGGCAACAAGGCCCACGCATGTAGCCAATTATATGACCGTGAAAAGAAATGCATGGCTGGACGTTCACAACTATCTTTCTATCATTGCTGCCAATCCACAATTCGTCGAAAGCATATTCCTCATCACCCTATCACATCACCCCACTCCAAAA